GGGCGGGGCGCCAGACCAAGGGCCATTTATTCGGGGAAGTCTTCATCTTCGACGGCGACTTGGGCCCAGACCCAGACTTTTCAGATTTGCTGCAGGAGCTTCAGAGCACCATCAAGCTGAAGCAGTGAAATGTCGTGGCCTCGCACTTCTGTGGGGCTGGTCTCAGGGGTTGCGCTGGCAACAGGTCGCTTCGCCAATGTGCCGCGCAGCTCGGGTCGACCCCCAAGGGGCGCCATTCGGTCGAGATGATGTCGCGCGTCGCAGTCGGAGGCGCCCTAGCCCCCGACAGCGCATTGCCGTCGAGACAGGGAATGTCTCTGAGGTTCCCTGCCCGGCGCGCGGAGAGGCCCCCGAGGCGGCCCTTCACATATCGTTGTCTTGCTGCAAGGACGCGGACGCGGAGGCCCGCGGAGCTTCGGACTGTCTCTCTTCATTAGCGCGCGCTCAGCACGAGTCAGAGGAATGTGTTTGGCTTCGCGGCATTCTGCCTGCGCGCTGGACAGAGGTCGAGCCCCCCCCGCCCCCCCGCGTGCTGAGCAGTGGCTCGCCAGCGGGCTCGAGGGCCCTCTCGGCCCTGGCTCACTTGGAATCGGCGCGAGCACTCGTCTTCTTTTTTAGTTCGGCGATGCGAGCGGGGGCCCCGAGTCCAAGAACCGCCCTTTTTGTCGCGTGTGTTTGAGGTGTTGTGGCCGCGTCTTGCATTGGCCCCCCCGGGGTTAACGCGACCTCGAGGGGGGCCCTCCCAGGCAAGGCGCAGTCCGTCTTTCGAAGCGATTTCCCCGCCTCGACTGCTGCAGTGGAGCGCGGCATAGGAGTCATGGGCTACACTGCCGACAATGAAGCTGCGATGCTTGGCTGGCATCCGGAGTTGTATGCTTGACCAAGTGGAGAGACTTCAGATCTTTGGGCCGAATCGGGCCGCCTTCGTTGCAATCGAGATTTCACGGACATCACCGCCCTGCAGATTCCGTTTTACCTGTCTGCCTCAGAGATCGCCCGTGCGACCTGCCCGCAGTGGGTCCGCTTTGGCGATGCAGCGGCAGGCGAAGTCGCAGCCGCGGCAGCGTCGGGGGCCCGCGCGAGCGCCGCCGGCCGCACGAGAGTAAAAGAGGTCGACTTTAAAGCGCGCGTGTCCAGGCGGAGGCCCCCTCGAGCCAGCCCGGAGGCGGTGCCAGCTGAATCCCGCACTATTCGCAGGAGACAGGAGCGCCTGCCCCGCCCTCTGGCTCTGCCGCCGCCCCCCCCCCCCTGTCGCCACATTCTGTCTGTGGGTGGGCAAGCTGCCGAGCCTGCCGCGGCAGTGCGTCGGCGGCGGAGCGCGCTCTTTAGATGAACAGCTATCGCGTGGAATTAATCTCCAGGGGGCGATGAGATTTCAAGATCGCCGCAGGGCCAGAGCGCGCGCGTCGTGGAGGTGGCGGGCGGGCGCATCCCAGCCGCGACATGCCGCCCCGCAAAGATGCGAGAATGTGTCGCCGTAAATCGCGCGTCTTCTTCGGGGGCGCCCAGCCACCGAAGCGCCATAGAGGTCTGCATGAGTTCCCCCGCCACCGCGCGAGTAGGGCACATCAACGGCACTCGCGAAGGCAAGTTGCTAAAATATTGAGCCGCAGCCGCAGCCCAGCCGAGCACGCTGCTCGGCCGGTAGTTTCGGCAACGTCACATTGCTTCGCGATCGGTCCTATCCCATCCCATCCGCTTTCGCCCCCCGCATGCGCCTTCCGCTCGCTCGCGCCCCCTGCGTTCGAATTCCGCTTTCGGCCCCGCTTCCGCATCCGGCTTTCGCCTCCCGCTGTCGCCTCCCGCTGCCGCACCCGGCTTTCGCCCCCCGTTGTTGCCCGCCGCAGTCGCCCCCCTCGTTCCCCCCCCGCGTTCGCCCCCCGCTTCCGCTTCCCGCTTTCGCATGCGCCCCCCGCTTCGGCTTCGCCCCCCCGCCTTCGCCCCCCGCCTTCGCCCGCTGCGGCTTTCGCCTTCGCCTCCCGCGTTTGCTTTGTTTCCTGCCGCTATCGCCGCCCCCCCGCGCTCGCTGTCGCCTCCCGCCTCCGCCTCCGCCTCCGGCCTTCGCCCCCCGACTTCGCCCCCCGCGCTCGCCCCCCGCTTTCGCCCCCCGCCTTCGCCTCCCGCTTTCGCCTCCCGCTTCCCGTTTTCGCGTTCGCCTTCCGCTGTCGCCGTCGCCCCCCGCTTTCGCTTTCGCCCCCCGCTTTCGCCGTCGCCTCCCGCTTTCGCTTTCGCCCCCCGCTTTCACCTTCGTCTCCCGCTTTCGCCCTTCGCGCCCCGCCTTCCAATTTGCCTCCCGCGTTCGCGCCCCGCTTCTGCTTTCGCCTCCCGCTGACGCCCCCTGCTCTCGCCCCCCGCGTTCGCCCCCCGCCTTCGCCGCCCGTTTTCGGCCCCCGCTTTCGGCCCCCGTTTTCGCCTCCCGCCTTCGCCTCGCGCCTTCGCCTCCTGCTTTCGCTTCCGGTTTCCGCCGCCCGTCGCCCCCCGCTGTCGCCCCCGCTTTCACCTCCCGCATTCGCCCCCCGCTGTGGCTTTTGACTTCGCCCCCCGCTCTCGTCTTCTCACCCCGCCTTCGCTTTCGCCTCCCGCGTTCGCATTCGCCCCCCGCCTTCCGCTCTCGTCTTCCGCTTCCCCTTTCGCCCCCCCGTTTTCTCCTTAGCCCCCCGCTTGCGCTTTCCGTTTTCGCTTTCGCCGCCTGCTTTCGCCATCTCCTCCCGCTTTCGTTTTCGCCCCCCGCTTTCGTCGTTGCTTCCGCTCTCTCTTTCGCCCCCCGTTTTCGCCTTCTCCCCCCGCTTTCGCCTTCGCTTCCCGCTTTTGCTCTTGCCCCCCGCTTTTGCCTTCGCCCCCCGTCTTCGCCTTCGCAAGCGAAGCCGGGGGGCGAAAGCGGAGGGCGACCGCGGGGCGGCGAAAGCGGGGGGCGAAAGCGGGAGGCGAAAGTGGGAGGCGGCGCCTCCCACTTTTGTCTGTCGCGCACATGCCCCCCGCCTCGTCGCCAATCTGTTTCGTCGCGAAACCGGCGCGCCCATGCCCCGGAGGGATTGGGCCTCGCGCCCCTTGGGGTGGCCTCCTCTTCCTCCCCCCCTCTTCCTCCTCCTCCCCCTCCTCCTCCTCCTCCTCCTCCTCCTCCTCCTCCTCCTCCTCCTCCTCCTCCTCCTCCTCCTCCTCCTCCTCCTCCTCCTCCCCCTCCTTCTGCACCTTCTCCTCCGCTTCGCCCGTCGCTCGTCGCTCCTCGCTCCTGGCTCCTCGCCCCCTCCTCCCCGCGGCCGCCTGGGACTGGGTCCTGCGCCCCCGCCGTGCAGTCAAAGCGCTGTTTTAAGGGCCGCTTCGGGCTCAGGACGGGCCGGTTCCTAGATTCCTGTCGGGGACTTTGCTTGTGGCCTAGGCCCGCCGTGGCCAGAAAAAAACCTTTCGTTCCTCACGATGCGTTACTTCTAGTAGCAAGATTGTTGCACCGTTGCGAACCTGAAGGCTGCATGCTGGTACCTCCCCTTTCGGCTCCCAGCTGCAGAGCTGATCTCAATGCGAATGACGACTTGGGGGTGCGGAAATGTTTGTCCGCTCAAGCTTTCCACGTCGCCAAGTCGCCAATTTGAGACGGTGGGGGGATCCAGCGGGGGCATCCAATGATTCCTTTACTCGGCTGAACACTGGTGTACATGCATTACGCAGTGTCCTGCTAGTACGGCCGAATGTGGGGCCTCTGAGACACATGGTTGCGGAGGTGGGGAAGCGCTGCTACATTCCCGCCCATCCCGCCTGCGACAATCAGTGTGCGCAACAATCCTGTCAGAAACTGAATTCAGAACGATTTTCGCACTAACGACGCACAAACACGGAGTCGGGTGCTGCGATATTCACGCGTAAACTTTCGCGTAATGCCGCCATATGAGTGCCTTCGTTTTCACTGAGGTGTGCCGCGCTGTGGGCCCGGATAAGCTGCGGCGCAAGGTCGCTACGCTATCTCGCGCGAGATCCGTTTTACCTTCGTCGCACACATGCTGTTAGGTTACGAGTGGCATGCCCACGTGTGACACCCTTCGCTCCGTGGCGGAGCGGCCGCGGCAGCCCTCCCGCCGTGCCTCGTCTCGGCTGCGACACGGTGGGGCGACAGATGGGCGCCTGCGCCTGACTCGCAGGGGACACGCGGGCTCCTTTTTCGGGGGCGTCGAGGCGGGGGGATCAGGACGATCGAGAAACATCGAAAAACAAGCATTTTCAAACACTTCATCAAGCACATGCAACATACTTCGGAGGTCCGCACGGCTTTCTTTGATCGGCGCTGGAGCGCCCTGGCGGCGCCTCGGGCGTCGCCCGTGACGCGCGCAGCGCGCCAGTGAGAGGGGTCCAGCGCCGATCCAGGAAATTCGCGCGGACCTCCACCGTAATGTAATGTTATGTTCCTCTAAATGTGGGCCGTGGCGATCCAGTACTGATTCGCAAGGGTCTGGCGGGCTTTCTTTCGGCGGCGTCGAAGAGGGGCTTGACTTGGAAAAGTAATGTAACTTTCATCGTCGGTTTGTTTGTTTTCGCCGCCTTTTATTTTTCGTAGTTCTTGGCCTCCGGGCGCCGCTTTGGGGGGGAATCTCCCGAACAATTCTTCGACACGGTCTACAAATGTTGCATTGCTTTTCTTTGAATGGTGCCCCACGAGGAGCATCGACGTCTTTGGGTTGCTAAGCGGAGCGCCAAGCGACCACGCTCCAGACACGCGTCGGACGCGCGACCGCGACTCCGCCAACCGCGGGGCCGTGGGTTGTGTAGGGGGCATTGGTATCATGGCCAGGGCCACTGTACCTCCAGATATCATGCCCCCTTTTTTTTGGTGAACCCATACCTTGGCCCCCTTCGTCCGCGTACGTGCCTCGGACCAGGATTCGTTAACCTCCCCTTCCTGGCCCCCCTCTCTTCGGTTCACCATATTCGTGCTCTTTCCTTCCAGTTGTTCGTTTCTCCCTCCCCTTTCAGTGGCTGTCGCGCGCCCGCTTTGAATGCCGTCAGCCCGAAAGGCACTTATGGACATGCTGGTCAAGCAGAACCCGATGCTAGCCTCGAACCCGGCGCTTGCGAAGCAGATGATCCAGCAGGCCCCCCGTTTCTGTCAGCAGATAAAAACCCGAGCATAAGTCAGTTTACAAGAACGCCACAAATAAGGTATCAACCTGTCCTCGTACAGGGGGCAGCATATTTCTGTGACAAGAGCGCGTGGCGTGGGCTGACATGAATCCTGATGGTTGACTGGATCCAGATTGACTTATGTGATGCCCTGTTCCTACATCCTCCCTTCCTCCTCCCCCTCTTCGTCAACACGCGTTTGGCACTAAGTAGCACGAGAGGGGTACGCACGACCGTTTTGAGAAACTCTCAGCCCCCAAAAGTTCGCACGACAACGTCTTGAAATGTTCACCTAGTAGCCGAGACCACGGGGAAGGATAACGGGGGTGGGGAGGATGAGGATCGAGACCATGAAGTATAGAGGTGGTATTCTTTGTTCCGTCATGGCAAAGCGTTTCTTCTTCTGAGTTCGGGCCAATGAACTATGGAAACGGTTTCTGCTGTTTCGTTGAGAAGAACCCCCGCTTGCGCGCCGGCGGCCTGGAACGTTGACTTCGCCTGGAATTAATGAAAGGGGGAGGGAGAGATGAGGGATTGATACCAGGGGAGGACGAGGCCTGGAGGGACTCGCGATGACTGGCGATTCACAATGCCGATGATGAGTTGAAGGGAATATCAAGAAGCACGGTAAGCGATGAATGATAGGAAGGCTGCGGATAAGGAGGAATGACGTAGGACGGTAGGACGATGCGGCTGTTTTTTTGTTAGGTTGCTTAGCAATGGCTAACTCGCACCATTTGGTAGGTATTGGCGGCCCCTGCCTCCGAAACGAAAATACACAGCAACCTTTCAACGATGGATGTGCCGTGCAGTCAGTAAGTGCCCCACCTCGTGGGGTTAACCTTTTCATGTCCCTTTCCTCCCATCAAACGATGACTGTTTCAAAGGGGGCGCATATTCTTCATCTGATATTGCATTTTGCGAAACTGGCCGTCGTGGCTTCTGGCTTCGAAGCGTAAGGTGTCAGCGGGCAATGTTTCGTCGAAGCGTGGAAAGTTCAGCCAAGAAATGCAGAAGTTGTTCGCGCAGGAGGATAAGCTAGAGTTCCAGACCCAGGTGGCGGAACTACGGGCCGAGTTGATGAAAAACCGGTCGGTCGAAACTGAAACAGCTTTGCACCGTGATGAAGGTTGAAGTACCAGATGAGCAGCCCATGAAGCACCTCAACCCAGACCTTTTTAGGGGAAGCCCACGGACAAGCTTACAGTGCAGATGCCCAAGGCGTCGCTTGAGAAGCTGGAGCGCTTCACAAAACAACAATTTCAGGCGATGTGCTTGAAGGATGCGAAAGTGCCATCCAAGATCGTTCGTCGACTCTTGGCGACCGACATGATGAAAGGAGATAATTAAGACGAAGGACAGAGACGCCTTGATGAACGCGTTCGGTAACCGGATTGAACAAATGGGAGGGTGTCCCGAAAAGTTGAAGCCTAACCCCTCATTCGGATTCTGTCGGCCTGAGCATGGCATGTCACTCTGTTGCCCATCATGGACGCCGACTGCAACCTAGCCGGCCATGTATACACATCGATCATGTTTAAAGACGTTACTGTTCCGCGGGTCTTGGATATCACTATCAAGGGCACGTGCGTCGTCGAACTTAGCTACGACCGCGAACCAGCTTACACTTGCGACTCCTGCAAGCCGCGTGATCAACAGCCTCGATGGGTGTCCTTCGAAGCCGCGGCCAAAGCTAACATCATCACGCCGCTGGAGTGGCAGAGCAGCAGCTCCCTCTGGGACTCGACCGACCCCCCTGGCGGTCAATCTACAAGCGCGGAGACGGAGCTGCGGTAAGCGACGGGCTCCGCGACGACACTTCCAGCTGCGCACGCCGACGATGGCCAGGGCATCGCGGCAGCGTTTGAGGGCGCCCTTGGGCCGACGAGATGTCTGAGCCGAGTGCGCCGTCGGAGGCAGGTCCGACTGCTCCTGCACGCGAGCTCCACATAGCCCCCCTGCCCAGCGCTCCTGTCCAGCTGGCGACATGGGGCGCCGCGGCAGCGTTGCCCCTTGGCTCGCGCCCTCCAACGGCGCGCTCCGAGATGAAGGCTACGCCACTAAAGCTGCTTCCGCCGAAATAGAGAACTTGCGTCGCCCAAGTGTCGACGCGCATATTTCAAGCAGTGACGAAGCGTCCCGGCTCGCCTATAGCCCCACCAAACAATATTCTAAGAACCTTTTGTGGTTTCCACGAAATGTTTTTAGAACATTTCTGGCGGGATCTGTCTTGTTGTATCACATCTTGTTTATGTTGTCAGAACATCGCTGTTGTTCTTAGAACATTTTGGGGTTCTACTGAGAACATTTCGTGGTAGGACTATAGGAATGCCGGGACGGTCGGTCCCTGCTCAAACATTTGCATGTTCGCGCAGCTTGCCGGCGAGCGAGACGCTGCGGGGGCGCTGCAGCCGCGCTTCGAGCAGTGCGCTGCGGCCGCGCTCTCGGCGCGGCCCGCGCCCGACGCCCGACGCGAGGCCGGCGGAGAAGTGGGCGCCAGCCTTCGGGCCCCAAAGTGCGCCCGGGCAGGGGTTCACGCGGGAGGCAATCCCACTTCCGCGCTGCGCACACCAGGAGTGCGTCGAGTGCAATCGATATGAGGAAAATCCTGGAGGCCTCGCTCGGCGCTTAATCGTAGCATGATCTAGTCCACTGTATCGACGCTCCCTCGGCGATGCTCCAGAGTCAGTTCGGCGTCAAGCCGACGTGAATCCGACGTAGTCCGACTTGAACCCAACGTAAATCCAACGTGAATCGAGTCTCAATTTGCCGCGCGAGGCCTCCAGGATTTTCCTCATAACAATCGCCGTCTGGCAATGGCATCGCCTTCGCCCCGCACATTATTTGTCTTGGCTGAGGTGGCGGGGTGTTCGGACGCAGCAGCATGCGATGTGAGGAGCGACCTGAACGGCCGTCCACGATTGGCGAGGTCACGCGTGCAGTCGCCTAGGTATGATTGGTCTCACGCATGCGAAGTAACGCGAGCACGACAATAGGCGCGCCATGCGAAAGCTGGCAGCGCAGTGCAACGCGGGCGCCAGCTGCGAATGAGCCCGGGAACGAGACGCAGTCGCAACACCGATGACGCGCGATTGCACTCTGCGGCAACCTCCGCAGGGGCCACGCGACCACAGGCGCTGCGTCGGCTGCGCGCGCGAGGTCAGCTACGACGCCTGGCATCGCTCGGACGTGTGTTTTTTTTTCTCCCTCGGCGAGAACCATCGAGGACCATCCTGGACCAGCGAGCAAAAAAAACACGGACGAAACCGAAAAATGCACAGGGAATGGACGTCCGAGCGATGGCAAGGACGGCGCGCGCTGGGAGCGCGCCCCCCCCCTCGTCGCAGTCTCCTCTGCGGCCCGCCCGCCGGGGGCTGATGAGAGTGCAGCTCGCGCTTGCCCGCGGCTCCCCGGCTGCAGGGGGGGCGCCCGTCGCCGCCTCGGGCCCCCATGGCCCGGGGGCAGCCCGCCCTGCGCTCGCGATGCGCCAGAAGCGGCGCCCGATTGGCGGAGCCCCAGCGGCGCTGCCATGGAGCTGGCGTTCAGCTCAGGCGCGCGCTCGCTTGTTCTACTCGAAGAATGGAGCGAAGGAAAGTTGCGCCTTTCCGCCTCGGGCCCCGATGGCCCGGGGGCAGCCCGCCCTGCGCCAGAAGCGGCGCCCGATAGGCGGAGCCCCAGCGGCGCGGCCATGGAACTGGCGTTCAGCTCAGGCGCGCGCTCGCTTGTTCTACTCGAAGAGTGGGGCGAAGGAAAGTTGCGCCTTTCCCCTGGCACGCGGACTTCGGATCTATGACCCCGAGAGCGGGTGGGCGATGAACTTGAGCGCGTCTGTCTTCCAGAGTGACGATTGCTTTGTTTGCGTTCAGCGCCCAGGTCCAGACGCGCGACTCGCAGTCGATGGCTGCAGGGCGAGGTTCGTCACGGTGGAGGCGGGGGTGGGGTGGCATGCGGGCGGTGCCACGGGAGGCTTCGGGAGAGCTCCCTAATTAGAGGGGGGGGCACGAAGCGTGCACTATGTTGGGGAAAAGCAGGTGGACACCACCCTTGAGGGCTCCTTTGGCACCGCAGCTCCGCTCCCCTGGGGACGCCGACAGACCATATCTATCTCACCCCAGACCCCCGAAGTCATGATTGTTTCATGACGTCGACCCCCCGAGGTCTCGACCCATTCCCCGGGACCGGTTTTTCGTCCTGAGTCGTTTTTTGACGGTCCCGAGGGCCGGTAAGGGCCCCCAAAGGCCAAAAATAATGAAAAACTTCCCGTCGTGATTTTTTCACAACTCGAGGGGGTCTGGGACCGACCCTCCCCGGGCCGATCTCAGGCGATCGCGAACAAGGGCTCCCGGGGGCGTGGATCGGCGACGGGCCCGGTCCCCACGGGAGACCGCGGATGCCCGCCGCCGAGCGAGGCGGCACCGGCCGCATCTTGGGGAGGACGCCCTCCCCCGGCGGGGCAGGAGGAGGAGGAGGAGGAGGAGGAGGAGGAGGAGGAGGAGCAGGAGGAGGAGCAGGAGGAGCAGGAGGAAAGGTGGGTGGCACTAGCAGGACGAGGGGTACACGCAGTCAGGGAGTGGAGGAGGTTTGAGAGGGATGTCGAAAGGGTTCCACAAGCCTGACGGGGTGGTTCTGGGAAGCCATGGGCTTGGCTCGGGCCGAACGACAGGGGGGGAATAGGGAGAGGCGAGGTCACGAAAAATCTGCTGCACGCAGCATGTTTCGGCCCCGCCGCCGGGCCCATTCTCCTCGATACACATGGCCGCCTCCCAGCGCCAGGAGGCGCCGGGAAAGTCAGCTGCGTGAGCTGATTCTCAACCCCCCCCTTTGCTATCCCCCCCTTTCGCCCGGCCCGATGGGCGGCCGCGCGCCGAAGCCGTGGCCCTGCGCGCCCCAGGCGATCCTGGCTCCAGGATCGGTGCCCGCGCCTCCCCGGCCAGGCGCCAGGAGGGCGCTCCGCCGATCGTGGGCTCCTCCTGGTCGGGATCGGGGGGGGGGTTTCGGTGGACGTCCTCCGAGCTCCTCCTCCTCCCTCTCTTTGTGGAGGACGATCAATGGAGAGAAAGCATGTTACCGAATGATTTCCAGATGCCCAAGACACGTGTTAAACATGTCTTTAACATGTAAGACACATGCTTAAAACATGTTTGGCATCTTTTCCCGACAGACCTGTGAAATACACTTTCAGTTCAATGATAGGACTGTTCGGGTGTCCATTGTCGTGGCATCCACAACCCTTTTGGAGGCAGCGTTGAAGGGGGACGGGATCAGGGGGGGCTGCATCGACCCCGGGCCACCCACTCATCGCCGATGGGGGCCCCAGGGCCCACCCGGCCCAGGAGCGTGTGGTGTTCGCCGTGGCGCGCCGATTCCAGGTTGACGTTTCCCCCCCCCCCCCCCCGAGCCAGTTCCTCCCTCGTGTCTCCCTTGGGTTTTTCCTCGGTTTTAGTTTTTCCTCGGTTTGGGTTTTTCCTCGATTTGGGTTTGTTCCTCGGTGTGGGTTTTTCCTCAGTTTGGTTTTTTCCTCGGTCAGGGGGGGGTCTCCCCAATCGGGGGTGGACGGACCGCCTACCCTGACACGCCGATTCAAGAATTGGCCGTCTTCGGTTCGCGAGAGCGCGCCGCGGCCGTCGTTTTTGCGGGCCCAGGCCCGTCGGTTTGGGCCCCGGGCCGTTTTCGCCAAGGGGAGGTCTACGATAAAGGCAGGCTTGTCCACCGCCGACCCCACCGTGCTTCTCTCTCTCTCTTCCCCTCCCCTCCTCGCGCTCGTCTCCGCTCCCGCTCCCCCCCTGCGCAGGCACTGCAGCAGCAGGGCCTGATGCCGGCCGGAGGACATCAAAATCCCCCCGCGCGGAGGAGAAAGGACGAGGAGGAGGAGGAGGAGGGGAGGGGGAGGAGGAGGAGGGGGAGGGGGAGGAGGAGGAGGAGGAGGAGGAGGAGGAGGAGGAGGAGGAGGAGGAGGAGGAGGAGGAGGAGGAGGAGGAGGAGGCGGAGGAGGAGGAGGAGAAGGAGGAGGAGGAGGAGGAGCAGGAGGAGGGGCAGGAGGAGGAGGAGGAAGGAGGAGGATAAGGACCAGTGTAATTCTACGACGCATCAGCGATGTTGCAATAAAGCCTCCTTCCAAGTTCTCTCTTCATTAGGTTCCTGTAAGACTTTCTTTTCATTGCGGAAAGTGCCCCGTTGAAAGACAGCCGTTTGAGAAATTTCAATCGTGCCGAAGTGTAATTCTTTGGATTTCAACGCAGCGAATCAACGTGACTGTTGCGTCCTGACAGTCCTAAATCGCGCAAGAACACCATCCCTGGGATTTCAACACCGCGAATCAAGTGACTGCTGCGTTCTTACAGCTTTAAATCGTGCCAGAACACCATTCCTGGAACTCTAACAGTACACATTCGTGAAACGACGAGTGTGCGCGGCTCTCAAGCGAGAGCGACATTTCGAAATCAGCCCGCCCTCAATCCTCGAAGCTGTTCCAGATTTCAAGCTTCAGGATCATACATGGCGAGTAAGTCTCAAGCAAAACGCCCAGCCCGTCATACTGGCACGTCGGGGGATGTGCCAGAGAGGAGTTTTACTTAAAGAAAGTGGGTGGAGGGAAGGAGGAGGAACAGGGGGAAGAGGAAACGGGACCAGCAGGGGTGAAGGGAGGAGGAGGAGGCGGAGGAGGAGGAGGAGGGTGAGGAGAAGGTGAGCGAAATCGAACAGAAGGAGGAGGAGGAGGAGGAGGAGGAGGAGGAGGAGGAGGAGGAGGAGGAGGAGGAGGAGGATAGCGTTTACGTAGTTATAGCACATACGTCTGACGGTTTCTAAGGTTGGTTGTTGGGCTCTTCGGGTTTGTTCGGGTATATGTTTAAGGGATTATGGGAGGTTGCACGGGGAAGAAGAGGAGGAAGAGGAGGAGGAGGAGGGTGATGCTGATGTTGATGATGATGTTGATGATGATGTTGATGATGATGAGGAGGAGGAGGAGGAGGAGGAGGAGGAGAAGGAGGAAGCGGAGGAGGAGGAGGATCAGGAGCAGAGGATGAAGAGGAGGAGGAGGAGGAGGAGGAGGAGGAGGAGGAGGAGGAGGAGGAGGAGAAGGAAGGCGCAATTCAAGAAGCGGCAGAAGGCGGGCGATGAGTGAGAAGCGAGGAACTACGAGGCAGGAGGGAGGAGGACAAGAGAGGAGGAGAAGGTGGACGGAGCATTGGCGAGGAAGAGAGGGATGGGGAGGAGGAAGAGAACGGAGTAACGCGGAAGAGGAGGAGGAGGAGGAGGAGGAGGAGGAGGAGGAGGAGGAGGAGGAGGAGGAGGAGAGGAGGAGGAGGAGGAGGAGGAGGAGGAGGAGGAGGAGGAGGAGGAGGAGGAGGAGGGAGGAGGAGGAGGAGGAGGAGGAGGAGGAGGAGGAGGGAGGGGGAGGGGGAGGGGGAGGGGGTGGGGGAGGGGAAGGGGGAGGAGGAGGAGGAGGAGGAGGAGGAGGAGGAGGAGGAGGAGGAGGAGGAGGAGGCGGAGGGGGGGGGAGGGGGGGGAGGAGGAGGAGGAGGAGGAGGAGGAGGAGGAGGAGGAGGAGGAGGAGGAGGAGGAGGAGGAGGAGGAGGAGGAGGAGGAGGAGGAGGAGGAGGAGGAGGAGGAGGAGGAGGACGAGGACGAGGAGGAGGAGGAGGAGGAGGAGGAGGAGGAGGAGGAGTAAGAGCATGACAGGAAGGAGGAGGATGAGGAAGAAGAGGAGGGTGCGTGCGAAGGAGTATGAGGAGAAGGAGGACGACGAGGGGGTAAGAGGAGGTATGAGATAATAAGTAGGCGGAATCACTGACCTGATTGCCAGGTATGGGAGCGGGTCGTTATTGAGTAGTCCCTCGGGTGCGTCACGCTTACGGCCAGGAACCACCTTCTACCAGGGCAGCTTGTTATTGGGGGTACGATTGCCCTCGTCAAAATTAACCTCGAGAATGGTGAACGCGCCCCTGCGATGTTGGCGCGCCCTTCAATGTCGATAGACGCCCCTCCAATGTCGGGGCCAGGGAAAAGGTGGTCTGACCGTGAACGACTCGGAAGTTTGATGATGACCGACATTGGAGGGGCGGCGCATACAACTATCTCGCAGTCATCGCTACTGAGTATCTCCCCACACACAGTTCAGCCACGTAAAACATGCTTGAGTTTAATTTTGACGAGGGTTGTAGGAAGGGCCCGGGAGCCTGTTCAGGAGTGGTTTCCTTTCGCGGGGCAGTCCCTTCAGGGCTGTGGGGAACCATGGTACAACCTCAAACCCCACGACCTGCCTGTCTGGGAAGGATGAGATACCTCGCCTGCCTTGTACATACGCCGTGGCCGAGGAGCCACCCGCAGGGGACCATACTCATGCAACCCAAACAGGCAGGGGCCCCCATTGGGGGTTGGGGACAACCAAACTAGACGACGCAAGCCAAGCAACACGGCGCCATATAGTCCCTGGGCACGGCCTGTACTATAGCAGAGCAGACCCACCGGGCTGAGAGGCGACAGCTATTTTGGGTTTGCCAGCGGAGCCCTGCACTGCCAATAAAACGTACCGTTTCCCTCTCACGCATAAGGCAGGCGGACACTAGACGTTGATGATGCCACAATTCGTGCCGTACCTGTTGGATCGGTCTCGCCGAAACAGCGGTCCGCGGGCTAGCGGCTAGCTGGGTATGCAATGCAGAGGGCCTCCTCGTATGGAGTATTGGTGCATAATTATGAGTTTGGGCTTTATGCCTGACCTGGCTTTATGCCGGACCTGTTGAAACGGTCACGCCAAAACAACGTACCGCGGCCCACAGCCCATAGCCCGCAGTCCTTGAACGGATGGGGGAGTAGGTGGAAGGAGGAAGTAGGATGAGGAGGAAGAGAAGGAAGAGGAGGAGCAGAATGAGGAGGAGGAGGAAGAGGAGGAGGAAGGAGGAGGATGATGTGGAAGGAGGAAGGAGGTGGGCGCAGGTGGGAGGTAGGAGGTAGGAGGTTAGAAGAGGAGGAGCGGAGGTGGAGGAGAGGAGGAGGAGGAGGAGGAGCACGAGGAGGAGGAGGAGGAAGAGGAGGACGAGGAGGAGGAGAGGAGGAGGAGGAGGAGGAGGAGGAAGAGGAGGAGGAGGAAGAAGGACCTGGTTCACCCTACAAACATTCTGGGCGTCTGTGGGGGCGTTGTTGTTTAACATCGTTTTGTACTTTGGGCCCCCAGACATGCTAAAAACGCTGCAGAAACGCTATGCGTGTTTCATATGTGTGTTGAGGTAGTTGTGATCTTTGTGGCTTTGGTAGTGGATAATCGTAAGGGATTGTGCTTTCTTGTCGAAGCTGCGCCTTGTCTTCCCTGCCGTCTTCGCTCCCGCTCTCCCGTTCCTGCCGCCTCCCGTTCCTCCCGCTCCGCTCGCAGAGCCACACACGCAAACAAGAGAACAGCTCCCTGACACCTGTCTAACACTGGTACGTAACAGGCCTGGAGGCCCCGCGACGAGCCAGCAGCAGCGGCCGGAGACGAGCAAGAAGGAGCACAACTGACAAACATGTGGAAGGGAGGACTAGACGCAAGGAGAAGGAACAGAGGGCGTCGTAGAAGCAAAGCCATGTTGAACTAAGCTAAACTGAGCCACAGCGACCAGGCAGCGTCGTAGAGTCGGATAACGCCGTCAATGGATCCGCACGTGCCGAACCATAGATAGCTGAAAACGCAGAACAAACCAAACACTGGTTTAGCGTTGTTAGTTGTTTTGTTGGGACCCAGATGCGCTAAGAACATGTTATTCAAGACGCTGAGTTGAAACTGCAAAAACACGTCCAGCGCATATTATGAACGAGCGAAGAAGGAGGATTAGGGGGAAAAGGAAGAGGAGGAACATGATGATGAGGGGGAGGAGGAAAAGGGGGAGGAGGAGGAAAAGGAGGAGGAGGAAGAGGAAGAGATGGAACGAGGAAGGAAGAGGGATCAGATAGGAAGGATGAGGTAGGAGGTAGGAGGTCAGACGAGGAGGAGGAGGAGGAGGAGGAGGAGGAGGAGGAGGAGATGAGGAGGAAGAGGAGGAGAAGGAGGAGGGGGGGAGGAGGAGGAGGGGAGGAGGAGGAGGAGGAGGAGGAGAAAACGGAAACGTAACAAGACGGCGGAGAGGTAGGAGGAGGAGGAGGAGGGAAGGAAAGAAGGAAGGAAGGAAAGGAAGGAAGGAAGAGGAGGAGGAGGAGGAAGAGAAGGAGGAGCTGGAGGAGGACGAGGAGGAGAGGCGAAGGGAGAGGAGGAGGATAGGAGGAGATGGAAGGAGGAAGAGGAGGAGGAGGAGGAGGAGGAGGAGGAGGAGGAGGAGGAGGGGGGAAGAGGAGGAAGAGGAGGAGGAGGAGGAGAAGGAGGTGGAAGGAGGAAGGAGGAGGGAACAGGTAGGAAGTAGGAGGCAGAAGATACGATGTAGGGGGTCGAAAAGCAGGAGGAGGAGGAGGAGGAGGAGGAGGAGGAGGAGTGGGATTTGGAGGAGGAGGAGCAGGAGGAGGAAGAGGAGGACCTACGTAAGCCCAATATTCGTCAACGATGCTGCAGTAAAACCTCCCTCCAAGTTTCCACATGAAAATTCTGAACCGTGCCAGAACACCATTCCTGGGGCTTGCTCACCGCGAAGCAACCAACGTAAAGGGAGTTCAAACAACTAGGACGGCACGCCCGGCCTCAGCCTCGCGGACCTACTCTGAATAGTTTGGTAAGTATTTGATGTGCTCCATGCCCTGCGGTCATCGCGCGAATGATGCTCGAGAACCTAGTTTAAAACATGGTCACGGCGATGACGTTGTGCTGATAGTCATGCTGATGTTTGCGTTGGGGGGTTGTGCTGGGGGGTTCTACTGGGGTGGT